GCTTTCTGACTCCTGTAGCTCGTGACTCAAGCCTGAAGGCTATGCTCCTGTGGGTGGATGGCTGCTGTGGCAGGAGCAGGCCCAGTGGCGACAGCAATGTAGTGAGACCTCTATCCCGGGAGGAGGCTGGGAAGGCCTGAGGGACTAGCTCCAGGGGCCAGCGCTCCCTCCTGCCGTGTGTCACTCAGCCAGTGTGGGTTAGGCTTGGAGGACACCCATACAATTCAGGTCTTTAAGAAAAGGTACAAAATTACTTGTTTGAGAGCATTCACAAACATGAGTATTTATTTAGAATGAGAAAAAAAATAGTAAGCTACACGCTTCACAGTGCTGACAAATACAAAACACATCATTGTTCCAGCACGTTGTGAGGACTCCCCTATCCGTGCAAGGCCCCAAGTAAGCAGGAACTCTCTGGGCTTACACTTCCCTGGCTTTCTAGGCAACCAGCTCTTCCCTCCACAGCAATTTAAGGAGAGTGAGAAGACTGGTCCTTGCTCTGGGGCACCATCTTCTTCTTCAGGGGCTGGGCAGGCCCACCCCTGGGATCTGGCACAGCTAGCAGGGACAAAGGCTCTGACCCAAGAAACAAGGCTGACCTTCTCCGTAGACTGGTGACAGGGATTCAAGTGAGCAACAGATGCTTACCAAGTACCTTTCACGTGCCAGTGCTGTGCTGTGGGCCACAGGGACACAGCCAGAAGAACTGGCTGTGCAAACGGGTACAGAGCCTGACACATATTAGCTGCTTGTCACCATGGGTTTCCTTCCTGTCTCCCACTTTCTGGGCACACTCGGAAGTAAGGCAGTATCCAGCAGAGCAATCCTACAACAGCCCATGTGCCAGTATCCTGGTCTTGGACACCAGGGCACCTTCTGCTCCCCACTTGTCAAAGCAGCAGCTACTCTTCTGGTGATATAGGGCAGGATGCCCAAGCGCTAGAGGTCAGCAAGACCATTGGACTGTCCAGACCAAGCCCAGACCTTCTGAACAGAGCCAGAACCGGCATCTTCCCAGCTCCTGGGCACAGCCAGGTCTCCTGGGTCTCAAGCGCCACCTGTTCCCAGCCTGTCTGCCCCCAGCCCTCCCCAAACACAGTGGGATTCTACCCCACGGCATGAAGTCACCCAGCAGTGTAGCCCCGGTAACCGTCTGGGGCCTCGCCCACAGACACCCCCCGACACACACTGGTTTCCAGGGGCCCAGGACTTCTGCACGCGCTCCACGCTGCGCAGTGTGTCTCTGCCCAGGTGCCCAAAGGACCGGGAGGGAAGGGGAGCCGTGTCACGCCGTGAGATTTCAGGACTGGACTGGTTTGAGTGACAGAAGCCAGCGATCCGAAGCGCCCCTTGTCGGGGACGGAGGTGAGGACAAGAGTCCGAGGCGACCTCCCTCAGGGGCCACGGAGGAAGATAAGCGTCGGAGGACCCAGGCACTGACATTTCCCTCCGTGTAGGCCCTTTCCGGTGTGGCCGAGGAGCCATCTGGCGGGTGCGGCCTAGGCGCCACCTGCTGGTGCCAGTGCGCGGAGTCCACGCGGTCTGGTGCCGTCACCTGGTGGCTCATTGAGGAATTGCAAGCCGGCCGCTGTACCCTGAGGAACGGAGACTGAGTGGCTGCGGCAGTTTAGAGCCCCTCCCGAAGGCCAGGCCGAGACCCGCTGTGCCTCTGTGCACAGAGCCGGCTTTCGCAGCCCCTTGCGTTCCCGGGGCTTGGCCTCTCAGAGTGGCTTCCTTTGTTCCTGTCCCCATCTCTTTGGCCTAATTCTCCAAGCTTCCGTTTCTCCCCCTGAAACTCTAACAATACCTCGTGCCAGGCTGGGGACCAAGGGGGCAAAACGACCCCACAGCCGCTGGGCCAGCTCCCCGCTCCCCCAGGCTTTGGTCCGGGTGCTGGGAGGTCAGAGATGGGCTACGCCAGGGCACAAGGCGCTTTGCCCCAGGTGGGCAACGCAGCAGGTGACCCCCCAAGCCGCCCCCTCCCCTCAAGAGTCCTGGAGCCTCTGGGGCAACTTCCGGGCCCCCTGACTGGGGAGATGGACTTTAGCGAAGCTGAGGCCAAGCAGCCCTCCCGTGGGGCTGGGTCCCCCTGGGTAAGGTGTTGGGGGTCCTTCAAGCAAAGCCCTGCCAGGAGAGGCACAGCCCCGTCTCATGACCAGCCACCGATGGCTGTCTCTGGGACAGGTTCCGTTCCAGCCTGTGGGGGCCTGGCCAGCCAGAGCCCTGTGCCCCTCACCGCCCTGTACCTGTCCAGGGCTCCACCCTCACCATTCATTCCATGTGGGGGCCACTGCAGAGTACGGGTAGGAGGATTAAAACGGAGAGGACAACGGTGACAAGACATAGTTGCTTTATTTGGGCAGCCCGGGGCTCAGAGCGGAGGCAAAGGCAAGAACCTCATCATCCTGTAACAGAGGATTCAGAGGGAGCAAGAAGAAACAAGAGTGACCACATTGGGGGGTCCGGAAACATCACCTAGAGGAGGCCACAGTGGACGGAGCCTGGAAGGCCACTGCAGGTGAGACTGCAGCTGGTGCCCTGGGCACACGGGGTCCACTTGGGGACCTTTGAAAAACTCCAGCGCCCATACTGCACCTGAGACCAATCATTTCTGAGTCTTGGGGGTGCTGATTGTGTCCCCCAGTCTAAGTGCCATGGAAGTGAGCCTTGAGAGGTTATGAGGTTTAGATCAGGTCATGGGTGGGGCCCTAAGGGTGGATCAATGCCCCCATCCAAAGAGGAAGCAACAGAGATCTCTGAATATGTGCTCATGTGGCACCAGGAAGAGGGGCTCTCCCTGTGAACCTCACCGTGCTGGCTCTGCATTCTCAGACTTCCAGCCCCCATATCCAGGAGAAATAAATGCAGAATGATTAAGGCACTCAGTCTGTGGTAGTGTTGTCATGGCATGAACTAAAACAGACAGTAGGAGGAGAGGAGGCAACTGAAGAGTTTGAAGCTCCCAAGTTTCAGTGTGCAGGCAGGTTTGAGAACCACTAGGCCAAGGCTTGGCGGGAAATACACATGGCAGGAATGTGGAGGGCAGGAGTCAGGGGCAATAAATGAAGGTCAGCAGGTCACAGTGGGCCATTTTCTGCTCTGACCACCTCCTTGTCTGCATTGGAACAGAAGAGAATGACTGAGGGGTCAACAGCTCCCAGAAGGAAATCACTTCTGCATTTCTGAGGATGTACCTGGCTCATCTTTGGATGCCCTGAGCCTGGGAACCAGCTAGCGCTTAGCGTTTGTGGCATTCAATGTCAAACAGCCCGTCAGCCAAATCACACGGTCCCACTTGTGTGACCAGTCTTGGTTGCTTCTGGGGTTGAGGTAGCTGGGCCGATGTGATTGAGGAATGTCAAGAAAATCTACAGAAACTTCAGCCCTTGGGACAGTTGTCTTGAAATCCCACGAATGGTGTTTTTTGTTAGTCCTTGCTTACCCCTTGTCAATTCTATGGCCTGCGGTAGGTGTGCAATGGCTAAAGACACAGAACATCTAGTGTCTGTGGGAGATATCCACAGAGATAGCGACTAACTAGTCATTGACACTGGCCAGAAGTGAAAATGGTGCCATGAAGCTCTCAAAGGCAGGTGCTTCCTTCCTTTTCAAACCAGAACCTCTAGGCATTTTTACTGGATTCTCCCCTGGAATATCATACACCGTTTCCCCAGGGAACGACTAATTTTGCTAATCATAGGACCCAGGTTGATTTTTGCAAGAGGGATTTGGGAGACACTTCTAATAAGAAACACAAGGACATAGTAAACAACTCATGTTTTTTGGCAGGCATGCAAGCAGCTCACACACCATCGTGCTATCGTTAATGTCCTGTTCCAGGCTAGGGCCTCAGGAGATCTGAGGTCAGGTGAATTCTCTAGGCAGTGGTCTCAAGAAGGCCCAGTAGAGGAGTGGGGAGGTGAGCTCAGGAGATGAAGGAGGATGGTGCAGAGTGTGCTAACAAGCAAGTGAAGCCCGAGGCCACTGGGAAATGGGGACCCAGTAAATAGCACACCCCAGAGTTACCCCATGGGAGGAGCAAGGCAGTGGGATGTCACTTACCTACCAGTTTCCATTAGTCACTGACTCCAGATTGCTTCCAGAAGCATTAACTAAGCACTGCAAGCTGGCCTGGAGCATGGCCACACTTTGGTGACCAGAGACCATTCAAAGGGAGGCAAAGGGAGCTGGTGTGTCAGGGCGTAGGGATGGGACACCTCCTGCATCTGCTGCCCAGAGCAGCATGTTCACATGCCAACCCACTCAGAAGCAGCTCAGGACTGTGTCACCCAGCGAGTGCAACCCTGTCCTGAACCCATCCGTTCATCAGCCACCCCACTCAGGAGCACCATCCATGTGCGGGTTAGAGGGAAAAGCAGTCTACACAGCATCAGGCCACCAGGAAGACTCCCAGGTCCCTGAGAACACAGGTGACAGACCTACTGAGTAGCTTCAGGCGCTGGGATGGGGCTGGCCTTGCATGTATTCATGCAGTCATTCAAGAAAGCGGTTGCTTAGATTAACTCTATTGGGAATAGCAGGGAGCAGCTTGGGAAGGGTTTAACTTAGTGGGAAGTACACATTCAAGTACACAGCAAAGTACCCAACAAAGGTGACATAGCTTGTATCTAGATGCCCCCCATGCAAGCCTCATGGACTCATAGGTGGGGCTTTTCAGAGCTGGCTGGATCTAGAATGTGCGATACTTGGGGTTAAGAATGTGTGGTACTAAATCAGTCCACTGATTGATTTAGTGTAGTTCTGGGTGTGGATAATGTGAAGGCCCACTCTGGACATGGGTGGCATCACCAAAAGGCTTGTATCCTGGATGGGATAAAAGGGAAAGGGAGGCTTGCTGCTTCTTGCCTGCCATGCCATGGACCATTTTTCCCTCTGCCATACCACCCTGCCTTGGAGACAGCTGACTACGGATCAAACCCTCTACAAACTGTGAGCCAAAATAAACCTTTCCTTCTTTAACTTTGGGTGTCAGATATTTTGTCTCAACAAAGAAGTAACTAAGACAAAAGGTGATTTTTTCTTGTTGTTGTTTTGCTCATGTCACACAAAACCAGGGACATCATCACATTTTCTCATCTTCATAAGGTGATGATTTTTTAAATGGGGGAACAAAAAAAAGCTAGGTGTGATGATGCCCGCCTGTAATCCCAGCACTAAGAAGCTGAGGCAGAAGGATTGAAAATTCAAACACAGCCTAAGCAAACAACTTAGCAAGACCCTATCTCAAAATACAAAATAAAAAAGGGCTAGGGATATAGCTCAATATGAAGGTCCTATCTGGGTAAATCCCCATTACCACCACCATCAAAAAAAGAGCAGATAGGAGAATTAATTAGATTTTTGAATCATAGTTGTGGAATTTCCTGCAGGTCCTGATACAAAGGGCATTGGCCAGAATTCAGCAGAGGGCCCAGGGATTTAGCTCAGTGGTTCAGCCGCCTGCCTCTCATTCGCAAGGACCCGAGTTTGATCCCTGGTACAAAAAAAAAAAAAAAGACTTCAGCAGGGCCTCAAGACTGACCTCAGGGCTCATATAGGAATTTTTAAGCCTCAGAGTCTCAGACAACAGGCTTCAGTGCCACTGGTTTTAATCACATCACCCATAGACAAGGCAAGAAAACCAGCTCAGCCTGTCTGTCACTTGAGAGATACACAGCCTTCACTTTTTAACAAGGTGGTAAAACTTCCCTTTGGCAAAGAATAGCATGACATTTTTGTAGATATTAATGATCCTGTTTTGCATCAACTTGAAAGCAATACACACGATCTCCATTCCGATGATGATATAAATGGAGAAAAACAAGAAGAAGTGAGGGTGATTTAACTTAATGTCCCCGAACCCGATGGTGGTCAGTGTGACAAAACAGAAATAGAAGGCCTCCTCAAAGTTCATCTCTGTCTCCCAGCAGGGCAAAATGGCAGCTGCACAGGAAATGTAGGCAAAGATCACAAGGGCGATGACAGGGAGGGGGACGTCCAGCCTTTCTACTTCCTGTCCCACCTCATCCAGGTTGCTGATGATGGAGCAGGAGAGTCTTCCCAGCCTCAGCTCAGGACACGAGCTGCTCTTCTCCAGGTTACGTGGGGGCAGTTGGAGCAAGTTCTCTTGCTGTTTGGTGATGAATCTCTCAAACAGCTCTGTGTTGGAACCTGGGGCTGAAGGACACTTGCCAGAATTAGGGCCAGCGAGCTCTCCATCCCCGACGATGATCTGAGGGACAGCTTCATCCACAGGACGGGAGTCAGACTTTCTTCTGCAGTGCAGGAGGGAGCACCACTTGGAGGGGGAAGAGAGGAAGAAAGGGAGTGTGCGTAGCCCATTGTAAGACTTGGATAAAATGGTTGCCAGGACGTCACCTATGTCTGTGAGGACCAAGAACATCAAGGGAATTCCAAAGAGGGCGTACAGCATGCACAAGTACCTGCCAACCCTTGTGACAGGAAACAGGTGGCCGTAACCTGAAAAAGAAGACAAACTCTAGAGTTGTTGTCAGTTTCCCAACCCTCTCAAAAGTTTTAAAGACACTTCCTGGTATTGCTCCTGGCATGACATTGTACACAATGTATTTAAAAATATTCACCTTGAGCTAGAGTATGGATTCTTGGTAAAGCATGTGCTTGGCATGGATAAAGCCCAAGATGCAATCCCTAGCACCAAAAAATGAATAAATAAAAAACAAAATATTCTTCTTGAAGTATTCACCAATCGTGTGGCATTAGGTCTGCTTTGGAGGAAGGATGGTATGATAGCTAACTGTTGTGTCAACTTAAGTAAGAAATATCCAACTGATAGGCTTTGCATAGTTCTAGGTGTGGATGATGGATTTACTGAAGAGGGAAGACTTAGCCTTGGGTATGGGTGGCACCAGTCAATAGGTTTATAGCCCAGATAGAATAAAAAGGCAAAGAAGAAAAAAGGCTCTGCTTCCTGCCTACCATGCCATGGACTGTTTTCCTCTGCCATGTCCCTCTGCAATATAGCCTTGCTTTGGATCCAGCCAATTATGGAGTGAAACCTCCACAAACTGTAAACTAAAGTAAACCTTTCTTCCTTTAACTTGTGAGGGTTGGGCATTTTGACTCAGCAACAAGAGAAGTAACTAAGACAGATGGGAATGAAACCAGCTTCTCTTCAGAATAAGGAGCAACACCTATCCAGATGTTTGACTCCAGACGCTCTTGGCAGGGGACACACACACATTCTGGGGTGAGATGATTGCCTTTCATCCTGCTGAGGCTGCTTCTGAGTGTCCTCAGGAGGATGGGCTCAACTCACTTGGAAGGACAGGAAGAACACAGGTGACAGGCAGTCATATTCACCGCCTTCTTCATCTTCCACGGACCCTTGTTTTTAAGAAGCCACCCTTGACCTCCCTTATGTCCAGACCTCTTCTTTCCTTGTTTTTATACAGTAGGCACTTAGTCTATGCCAGTAGTATGTGTAGCATTAGGGACAATAGAGAGAAGAGAACTGCTGACCTCAGCGCCATTTGTGGCTTAGCAAATGACACAGAGACATTCATAAATGACAGGGAAGCTGTTAGCCTCCCGAATCTAGAAGCTGACAGCCTTGGTTCAAATCCTAGCTCTGCCATTTGCTACACTATTAGTTGATTGCTCACATTTTCAGGTTTCAGATCTATAAAGTAAGAGGTGAGTCTCTACTTACATAGTGACAAGCTGGGAGGATGCCACGGGGTTGGGCATTGCCGCACAGTAAATGACTGAGTGCGGTGTCTTCACCCTCCAGAGCCTATAGGTGCCTACTGCACTTGCTGCGGGTGGGTACTGACCAACATTCCCAGGCCGGTGTCGTTATTACAATTTGAAGATGGGGAAACTGAGGCATGGGAAAATGAAGTGCCACGGCCAAGCATAAATGTGACAAGTAGCGTCTGATCCACAGGGCTGTTCAGGCCGGCACCAGTGCTCCCAACCTCAAGGGCTTTTGCAGAGACGGAGACCTGCCAAGCCAGCAAAGGAAGTAGCGTCCTGGTGTCTCCATCTCCACTGGGGCTGCTCCTCCTGCCCGCCCTGTGCCTCAGCTTCTGCCAACTGAGTGTGAGGGCAGAGAGAAAGCTGCTCGACCACGCAGGTGCTTGCAGCCTCTGGGGTGGGAAAGCTCCGATGACTTCAACATGCAGAGGAGGAAGCTTTTGTGTTTCATGCCTGTGTTTAATTTTTGATGTCATAAAGGATAATTAATTCAGAAAATGCAGCCCAATTATGTAAATTAATTTGAAGGCAATTCCTAGGCTAGCCAGGCACCAACCTCCTCCAGGACCACTGCTCCCTGTGGCAAACTCCTGCCCCAGCCTGTCCTCCTGGGCACAGGGTGGTGCTTGGGATGCCCACATCACCAGGGTCCCCTATGCAGGGGAGCTGTGGCCCTGGAAGGGGGTCCTCAGTTTGCATCTGGAACACCAACGTGTGTACTCAGTGAGTGTTTATAGAGTGCTTACCTCCTGGACTGGGGCTGCGGTAGTGAGAAAAGTAGATACAGGATTCTATCTTGCTGGGCTTCTGGTTTAGTGGGGAGGTAGCTATTAACACAGCAACCATGCCGGACATGGTGGCACACGCCTGTAATCCCAGCACTCGGGAGGCTGAGGCAGGAGGATCACTGTGAGTTCGAGACCAGCCTGGGCTACATAGTGAGTTCCAGGTCAGTCTCAACTACATAGTGAGACCCTGTCTCAAAAAACC